AAAAAAAAAAAAAAAAGTAGTTGTCATTTTACTGGTGGGAAAAAAAAAACTGCAACTCACTATTCATTTCTGCCTTTTTCTGTCCGGGAAAAAAAAAAAAAACATTCCAATAAAATACACAATGTAACATTTACTTCATCTAATAATGAATTTTATGCCACTGTGATATGCTTTTCCACTCCTTTCCAAGGATTCCTGTGTCACAGAAATCCCTAATTGGTAACACTCATTTTAAAAAGAGAAAATACTCCCCCAAGTTTAAAAGATTGAGAAAGAGGAAAGAGGCTCCCTATGCATATGCAAATATGCCAAGTTCATCAAGTCTGTTCAACAAGTACTTAATAAGCACACAAACCAAAACCAAACTCACTGTCATAGTCTATTTGGACTCACAGTGATACTGGGTTTCCAAGGCCATAAATCTTTACGCAAAGCGACTGCCTCATCTTTCTTCCTCGGAGCGGCTGGTGGGTTCAAACCACCAACCTTTTGGTTAACAATCAAATGTCTTAGTCACTACACCATTAGAACACCTTTCCTAAGTGCAAAATACCTTTGAAAAACTCAGGCCAACAAATGCTGAAGGTTGCAAAAGGGAATTTATGACATAGCTTCACATTCACTAAGCCACAGAAAATCAATAATTCAAAATTATTCCTTAGTATCTGCCTCTAAAAGCGAGTGCACCCCAATTATTTAATGTTTATAGTCTGCATTACCGGGGTTCCGGTTGCCATTTCTAGATTACCAGCTCCTTCCAAGTAGGGTATGATCAGCTTTAGGGACTTTTGTCACTGATTAAAAGGCATAATGTGAAAATCGAATACAATTATACAACTGCTTTGTAAAAGTCAATTTGGTTTCTAACTGATAACTGAAAGTAGTACCCAATCCCCACTAAGCAAATGTGCCAACTGATCCAATTTCCCATAACCCTATCTCGGAAACCAGGTGCCCCATCTGAAATTTAATGCCATAAAAAACGTCCCTCTGGCCTAGTCTATGCGGAGTGCATTCTAGACAAGTCCCCGGTGCACCAACAGCCCAATTTTGGCTATAGTCTGAGAGATTTAAGGAAGTCGGCAACCATTTATCTCACGTGATGTTAAAAAGGGGCGCAGTAGAGCCGTGAATAAACCACTTTTTACTGCATCAACTTCACTGACCAGCATGAAGGAAGAGGGCAGGAACATATGGCAGTCGGCTGGGCAGGGAAGGCTAGCCAAAAAATGTGGGTTGTTGTGCTTTATACTTCGGGAGAGCAAGGAGGTGAAGGGGCACACCCGCTCACGCGCATTGCAGCGGCTAAAAATCGCTGCCACACCTCCCCAGCAGCCAGGAGCATGTCTTCACCTTCCTCTTTCCCCGAACAGAAAGGGGACCCTCTCTACGGAGTGCTCCACCTGCAGAGACTCCCACCACCACACACCCCTCTAAATGAAAACGCCCTTGAGTCCGGCGCGGGTGGGACAAGGCACTGGGGGGCAACAGAGGGGGAAGGGCCGCGCCGACTGGAAAGCCGCGCATGCGCAGATACGGGTACCCGCCCGTTTACCTACCGTTGGAACCACGACGCCCCGTTCCCCGGCCGCGGCCTCTTCTCCAGGACCCGGGGCGACGGCAAGAAGGTGAGAACTGGGCCCCAAGTGGCTCCGCGGCCGGCGAGCCTCGTCCCGGGGCGGCTTCTGACAGGCGGCTGAAGAGACGGCGGTAGCTCGGGGCCAGCCAGATAAGCGACCCTCAAATACCCCAGGCAACGGCGGTGGCGGCGCTGGCGGCGGCGACGGAGACTCGGAAGAGGGGGCGGGAGCGGGG